AAAGCTGATAAAGGGACCAGCATTCCTGCTCCAACTAAAATCCAGCCAGGTTCCATTCTATGTTTAAAGCATATCCTAATATTTTACAGAATTTGTTTAAATGCCCCGGCAAAAAGCAATACGTTAGCTTTACATTGAATTACTTGTGCTCGTTCTGTTGCTTGGGAAACATTTTGGGGGTCAGTTAACAATAAGATACCAAATACCCAGAGCTCAGCAAGACAGCCCCTGCACTGAATTCCTAAATAATAGTCCACAACCACAGAAAATGGGCACTGCATCACAGAATAATCAAAAGCAGCTTCATATTTTCCAGATAAAACAAAGCATCGCTTGTGTTGAGGCATTTTTAGAAGGTACCACTGAAAACCAGACTGCAGCCTGGAATGGCTTAAAATACCACATTTAACAATCACATCAATGGCTTTTAAACTTTAGAGGCAAATAGCTTCCTTTTACTACAAATTCAAAGCGAAGGATTAGATGCAAAGCTAACAGATTAATTCAGTACACACTCAAGCTTAGAAACTATCCAGTGCCTTAATTAACACCATTACAAGTGTATTTAGCCAACCAGCTGTGTTTTAACAACAAAAAGGTGAAGGTCAATTTAAAAATAAATAAATAAATTGCTTCAAACTAAGCCCCCCTGCTGAAAAGAAAACACAGATAATTAAATTGAAAGGAAAAGACTAATAAACAATTATTTTGGTATATTAAGCAACCTTTCCTTAATCAGTCTATGTTTTAATTGAGGCAGGACCACAATTAAAATTTCACTAAACTTTGCTCTTCTGCCTCAACTTGAAGCTACTTCCACACCAATATTGAGTAACTAGGAGAGTTGGCTAGGGCAAAGGACTGTGGATTCTAGCCTGGCAGAGGGCAGGAGAAAGGCTGCACAGAGCAGGGGAGGGACCAACCCTCTCTAGGAGGGAAAGAGGCCTTGACTGTCTACTGCTTCCAAAATGATGCCACCATCTCCAGGGTTAAAACAAAAACAAAAACACTATCAACCGTGAGCTTAGATTATAGCATAGATGTTAGATAAAATTACATTTCATTTCTTGGACACTAGTTAAGCCATTTATTTACTCGCTACATGGAAGCAGTAGCTACTAGAATGAACTGTACTAGGTCTGTGCTTCAGTAGTTTTTGATGTATAGGGGACCTGCCCAATGTAACTGAAGAATCCTCTGCAATGCACATCTTGGTGGGAGTCCACCTTGCCCTATAGAAGCTAAGAAGTCAAAATACACACTTGTCCAGCCTCTCTTGCAGCTAGAACCCAGGCATGGGAACCAGGCTCAGCCATTCAGATGTGCTTGTCCCACACGTTCAATTATTCCTTGGCTATTCTTAAACATTCTTTTTCAGCCAATTTTTAAATCAAATGGCTATGCTATGTTAAGAAAAATGACAGGATTTTGGGAGCAGTGAAAATCTTCTGTGCGATGCTATGATAGCAGGTAGATACCATTATACATTTGTCCAAACCAACAAAATGCACCACACCAAGAGTGAACCATAATGTAAACTATGGACTGGGGCAATAATGATGTATCAGTGTAGGTTCATCAGCTGCAACAAATGTGCTACTCTGATGGGGGAATACTGCTAATGGTGTAGGTTTGCATAAGTGGAATCAGGGAGTATACAGAGAAACTCTGCAACTCCCTTCTAAACATTGCTGTGCACCTACAACTGCTCTAAGAAAATAAAGCCTTCAAGAAAATAGTTTGGATATCATTAGGGATTAAATGGAATGTATAGACAATTTTGTAATATCTAGTGGTTTAAAAAAAACAGAACAACCTGCCCATTCAGGGATATGGTATTTCCATTTATTCAGGTCTTTAAGTCCTTCAGTCATGTTTTAGTATTTTCTTCTTCAATATAAGGCTTGTACATTTCTTCTTAAGTTGATATTTAAATTTTTGTTTCTATTATAAAATGGGACTATTTTTCCTATTCATTTTCTAAACAGTGCTTTTGTACAGAAAAGATTAATTTCCTACGTTACTCTTATATTCACTCTAAACTCATAATAGGTCCAGATTTGATATCAGAATACACCCACCCAATCTTAGAGTACAGTAATTACTTCATTTTAATATTTAAATAAGTTTAATAATAGTAACATGAAAGTTTTCTGATAGTAAAGGTCACTAGAACTAAAGAGACAAGTGGTAGGTTATAGGCTCTCAGGAGAGCTTCAAAATAAAGATAACACCTTATTTCCTTGTTTTAGATCAAGGTCCTAACATAAGAGCACAGAGTGAAAAAAAAAGATGCCCTCGTCTGGTGCTCCCCACTTTATGGTTTAATATTGATTTTTGTTCCCTTAGGCCTAACTCAAGGTCAAGAGAAAGGCAGTGCTCATTTGCCCTGATGGAATGGTGGAGACAAGGTAAATTTACTTTCCCAAAACACGTATTGAAGTTTTTAATATTGCATTCTCCGATGTGATTCTATAGCCTCCAGAAAACACTTTTTGCTCAGCTATAAGCACTTCCTAGGTAAAAGAAACAATCATAAAAAAGACTTTTGCTATTTTTAGAGCTCACACATTTAAACTATTGAAGTTTAATATCTCACTGTACATATTTCAAAAATCTTTATATAAGTATAACTTGGATTTCATTCCCTGGTAACATTTTATCAACAGTTTAAAGTAGATACATGTGATATCTTCTTTTGGGGATAGGCATTGAGGATATAACAACTTTTCAATACTTCTGAATAATATTTTCACTTGAAGAATACTAAATTTAACTTGGTGATCATTTTCCAAAGTCTTAAAATAGGTTCAACATAAAAGTCTAGTTCAAGGTTGTCTGTAAGAACAATCTACAAAGGATAGGAAAAGTAACTCAGTATTTTAGACATAAATATTTCCTAAATTTCTATGATTGTAAGTTCAAGTACATAAAAATTTTCCTTTGTGTTTGCAACAAAGATTGGTTTTAATTGGAAACAGTAGAGCAAAATTTTTCCATATTGCAGAAGATATTATTACCCAAGTTTCAGAGCCGTCTCAGTCGATTAGCCGGCTTCAATTTACAGAGGAACTTAGCTCTGATTTACTTATATAATGAGAGTTGGCACAGAGTTGAGCATATGAATGGTCAAATTCCAAGTATTTTTCCCCCAATCATCTGTGACATAACTTTACGATTTAAAATTCCATCCGCTTTGTTCCCCAACTAATATAACCAGGTTCTAGTTAAGAGGAAAAAGGCACATACCATACAGATGTTTTATGAGAAATGTTCCCATTGCTTTTTCAAGTTGGTTTGCATTAGTGAAAAGCCATAGTGTGGGACTTATTATGAAGAAATGATTCAGAAAAAATAAAAGTAAAAATAAAAAAAAACAAAAAAGCAAACAACAGTAGTTGCTCTTAAAGACCCAAAGGGGAATTAAACCCAAAATCACATGCTCTACAACTAAAAAAGTTTCAAATGTAAACTGTTCACTGTCTGGCCCATCTGAAAGGCAGGTTGCTGACTATCATTCATGTACTGTCATTTCACATGAGTTGGGGCTGTTGTGAAAGATTCCATTACTAAGGGGGGAGTTTGGGCTTGGAGACCCTGGATGCTGGTTGGCAGCTCTAGCCAGAGAGCTCAGGCTCTAACTTTATGCTGAAAATTACAAAGGTTACTAAAGAAGCAAACAAAGCTCCTAGGATGAGTTTCAGATGAGCCAAAACAAAACAATTGTTTTTAACTGCTTTCAGAGAAATAAAGAAAAGGATGTTTTGGCCGTGACCCAACAGGGGGTGAATGTCCCTCAGGATAGAAATTATCTAAACTGAAATTTCTCCATAGTGACAATTCTAACAATTATTCAGAGGTAGGGGTTGATTTTCTAAGGTTAAAAGCTAGCTAGCTATGGTCTCCTGTTTCTCTCATTAAAAACTGGTTTCTTTTTTGAACCTGCTTATTCAGGCATTAAGGAGAAGCTTCTAATGGGATCTGAACAGCAACTTTACAACAAAGACTACTTTCAAGGTAAGTTTGCCATTTTGCAAGTTTGGTTTAAGGGATAACTAACAGAAAATTTGTCTAGGTTCCATTATCAAAAGTTTTTAAATCCATTTTGTCTGTAAATGTAAAAACAACAGATATGGACAATATTATCACAAGGTATTACAAAATACTCGTAATTACAGAGTTAACTATAATTCTGTGATGTTTTGGTAACAATCGAATTTATATTTTAAGAGAAATTAGAACTGAAATGTCACTCACTGTATAATAACTCGCAAAACCAGCCATTCTCCAACTCTGGATTAACATGAATTTAGAGTGAAACGGCACATTTCAGGAAAATTAATCCATGCTAGCAGAATTTTATTGTGCAATACAAGTAGACAATATGTAGTTTTTCTAGCAAGAGAAAGAGGGTGTAACACTGAGTGGTCACCAAACTGACCTTAGAAAAGAGTTCATCACATGGCCTGGAATGAAGTCACAATGACCACAAATGTACCAGACTCTACACATAGAAATGAAATCCAAGCCAAATTAAGTAGATGTCACCATAATGAAAACTAGCATTGAGCGGGCTACACCTGTTAAGGGGATAATATGATACTCAAAAGATGAGGACCAGTCAGCCAGCAGTTGGTCAAACATATAAAATGTAATCCCATGTGGGAAAAGGGAAACACTTCCTAGAAACCAAATTCCTGGACACACCTGCTATCCCACAATGTCTCTAACACGAACTCTGGGTCTGAATGACCTTTTAAATTATGAACAAGTCTTCTAGGGAAGGATTCTGTTCTTAACTGAAATTCAGTTTTCAGAGTCACTTCTCATAAAAAAGCTAGAAATGTACTTCGTTTCTCACAGCTCCACTATGCTGTCCGTTCCCACACCCATCACTTCTCTGACCCGTTCCCAAGGCAGCGACATCTGCCCAGCCTGGACTGGGGTCCGGCTGCCGTGCCCACCACGCTTGCCCACCCAGCTCATTCCTGTATACATACCTGGCTCCTTCTTGCCTCCCTTGCCTCCCTCTCGGCTCTTCTTCAGCACAGCCTTTAACATCTTCACCACTCCTTTGCTTCTAAGGAGAAAAGGGAGGGAGGAAGGGGAATTAATGGTAGTAAGTTAGAATATAACCTGCCTATTGACACAAGCGGTAACTTGAGTTCAAACAAACCGATCCTTTAGGATAATATAAAGGTACCTTAAGTTTTACACATTAATTTTCTACGAATAAAAGATGGGGAACTAAATGCTAAAGACAAGGAGTATTTTATAACTTTTAATGAAGTGATCAGAAGTTCACTGTCTTACTATAAAAGTTTTTAAAAACCCACAACAGTGCATTCTCAGCATTCCACATCTAATTAAGGCTGTGAGGGTAGATCTGGGCACATTACTGTACGGTGCGTCTGGCATAGGAATTTGGGTCCTCCCCACACCAGTTCATCAAAAGAACACATTAAAACAATCAAAAAGACAATGGTTAAGAAGGAAGCTATGTGGTCAAAGGCATGTTTTACAGGTGCTACTGATTATATAACCACAAGGAAAACATTTTTGGAAGGCTATCAGAAGGAAACATACCTTATAAGCATTTGCAAAATAAATACAGTGGGAACACATTTTAAAACTGGTGTCAGGGGATGCGATCAAACAGCACACACCAGCATGGGTTTTTACTGCAAACAGTTATGACTCTTTTGGGGGGTGGGGAGGAGAGCAGAACAGGCCACTGGCATTAGAGCTGAATCCCTTCAATAAACCAGCTGTAGTTTTAAACAGGGTTGTACTGAGCATGTAAAAACAGCACAATAGCCCAGGCCTAAGATGAAACGTGAAACCAACCCGACAGCAAGAGACAGACAAAAGGACCATTATTTCATCATTTTGGCAGGCTCCTTCAGCTCTCTTCCCTCCGTGAACCGAGAGGAGATGGCTGGACAGCTCAAAACAGTAACAGACCTGAGTGGGTTGTGTTACCCGTCACACCATCACCAATGCGCTAAGGAAAGGGAGGGAGCAGGCAAGCAGGTTGCTCGTGAGAGAAAAAGAATGAAGAGGAGAGAGCAGGGAAGGGAAGGAGAAACTCCTACACAGAGGGCTCCCCAACCTGCCTAGTTCACTTGAATGCTTAGAGGGGCCTCCGTGAAACACCTCACACGACCTCTCACCCCAGAGCAAGCACAGGTTCTGCGGGGATCGCTGAAAGGCCTGGAGAGTCCCAGTGTGCTGCCATTCACAGAATCCCACAACGTAAGGACACAGGGTGACCTTCCTTATCATTTGGGTCTGGGCCTATATTTATCTTTCCAAGCCCTTTGTTTTCCTGATGAAGACACAGAGACCCCAGGAGACTGACTTGCCCAGGGGCAGGCAACTAATTAACACGGGGCCAGAATCCAAACTGCAGACTCCCAGAGAGCGAGGGTCCTCCTCCTGCCGGTGGACCTCACTCTCTTCTCAGAGCAATGAAAGCTTCGGACAACAGCAATCAAAAAAATTCAACAACAAACAAACTTCAGAAATACTAGGAGGATACTGTCTTATGCAGAATTTGGAGACAGCTATACTGAAGTGTACTGGGGTTAAATCATCTTCCCAACAAGTGTTTATCCATAAAAGGGGCATGGCTTGGAGCCTGATTCTTTTTAAAAATGCTACTTTGAATGAACCCTGTGAAAAAGATTTGGGTTTCACCTAAAGAGCCAGCACTGAACCGGAAAGAAGGCCGCAGTGTGCTTCTACAGCGGAGCTGTGGAAACGCAAATTTCTCCTGACAGTCATGCTTAAAAGAAACAGTGCAAAATGTTGTGGTATAAAGAACAGTAGGCAAAATTAAATAAATAAATAGATGCCTAGTAAGCACAGACATTTTCTTCTCCAAACTAATCAATCAGCCTTCAGGGTTTGTCATTTAGCAAAGACTATATACTTTGAAAATGAAACAAAGAAAAATATCGAAGAGCTCGTCCAAGGTCCCTTTTGAACTCTTTCAGATTAATCCTGATTAATCACCCAGTTGGCACCAATCCACAGCCCATCTATCGTGCCAATTGTAATAAACATCCTGCAGGGCAAGGACTAACACACTGACTAGGGCATCTTATACCAGACACCCTGTGTGCCTATTTTGAGGGAGCTCAGCTGTTTTTAGGATGCTCACATCTTCCACGTCAGTGGTCTTGAGTAAAGTAAAAGAAGCTATTAGATATTTGCTGTAATTTTTTTTTTTTTCAGTTCTTGCTTCCCTCCATAAATAGCAAGCCAAGGGAAAGAGCTTAAATTTCTATTCAAAAGCTATTCAAACCATGACCTGGAGAAACTAAATTGTTATAACTGAGTGCAAAAGTAAGGAGCCCCTACACACACACCCCACACACACACCCCACACACACACCCCACACACACACCCCACACACACACACCACACACACACACACCCCACACACACACACCACACACACACACACCACACACACACACACCACACACACACACACACACACACACACACGAGAAAGGAAAAAAACAGGACTGCTCCTACGCAAAGTCACCGAGAGTGCCAATGATCCATGGCCCAAAATACATAACTGGAACTTGATTTTATTGGCATACCTAAAGACTGTGCCCATCTGAAGGGGGTGGGAGGCCATAAAGAGCAGTTAACTATAGTAATAGGCTGGAAGGGCCAACACTGGCAGTATATAGTCCAGAGAAGCCTATCTGACACACCTGACAGTATCTATGCACTTATAAACACACACCCCACACCCAATTCTAGAGAGGGACCCATAAGGCTTTCGGAGCCCAGTGCTATTAAACATTAGTATCACGTAACTCCTTTCCCTTGTTCTAATTCTGCTCTCACTGAGAAGAGCCTCATAATTTGGCTCCTTTCTCAGCCAAACAACAGTGGGCAGTGTGCTGGTGTAGTCAACCCCACACAACCGTCTGGCTTGTTGACAGATATTCAGGGAATAAATTAATAAGTGGATGTTCTGGCTTTAAACAAAAGCTCTCATGAGCTCTGTTAAAGAGAGTCACTTTGCCAAGTACCATCTATTGGAGAATACTGAGTTTCTGACCCCAGTTTGAATACCAAAAGGAAGCCAGTGGTAAATTCTTGAATGTAAATGCCACCAGGAAGCAGTCTTGTGAAGCTAGCCTGCGGGCTCTCCCTGAATGACACCTTCTGCATCATTACACACACATCCCTTCCCACACCAAGCTACTGTCATTTTTCCCCTAAAAAGGGTGAAACACTGTCCTGCCACAGAAGTCAGCCAAATAGAAATGATACAAACCAGCCTTCCAGACACAGTAATTCACACCCAGCTGATTAAATGACAAGCCCAACACACTGAAAAGGAATGGCAGAAGCTATCGAGTTGCTACTTGAGGACAACACATGTGGTCAGGAAGTACTTTATAGACAAGCATTTATGGGATAAAACATAAGAAATCGTGTCCTTTTTCACTTTAAATATATCATAGACCAAAATGCACAGGTTCAACTCAGATAAATACTGGCCAAATAGAATCCCTCAATTTCTCCCCATAAAACCTTAGCCTTTATGACAGCAAGTAGTATCAGTATATGGTTGAATTTGAATACTTAAAAATCTTTGAAAAAATAGAGAACTTCAAGCTGTCATTTCCTTAAATCATATACTTTTAAGAGAGGAATGACCAGCCTCTAGCTTACAACAACTGAAATTAACTAATAGAGAATTCTCTATAATATTTATTTAAAATAAAGTAAAATAAAATGTGAGTATATGCAATTACCCTTTGAAGACCAATGATCTGAAGTCACCTGAATTTCCTTATTTTTCTACTAGCATACAACATCTAAGTTTTCCAAATGCCATGGAGTCTTCCTTTTAAAATCCCCAGAAATTAAATCAACAATCAAGCTTACTTTCACTTCTTGGATTTCTCCTTTAACACAAAGTCTTTGGGGATAGGCACAATATCCGCGTGTTACGTGTTAGAATTCTACACTGTGATTATAAAGGTATATAAAATATAACAAAAATCATCCTAGATAAAACAGTGGAATGAATTCAAGACAAGACAAAAATCTCTTCTACTGGCGATCATAATGGCAGTTATCGTAACCATGAGCACCTTGTCTTAAATCTCAGACTAACAAAAGCATTAATAATTTTCCTCTTCTGGCTGCCATCCTGCCTGTTTATACAATTTCAAGTTGAATCTGTGAGCTGAGGGCAGGGACTATGTTTATTCTTTAACAGATGCAAACAGAAGTCAGAGCACAGACTTCTCACCCACTCTGTTCTCAATATTTGTTGACAGATTTAATTAAGCTGCAGTGAACAAAGATGAGTGATTTCTTCCAAATAAAGCAATTAACCAACACTCTTATCACTGTTTATAAGTTACAAAGAACATTCCTATATATTCTCATTCACAAGGAATGCAAGAAACTCAGTTAAATCCATGCGGCATCAGGCAATGGGATACGAGGAAGGGACTTGCTGCATTTTGTAATATGCCTTCATGTCCACGCCTGAATTAACCTTAAGTTACTTATGTCAAAGTAATAAGATCTTCTCAATTTATCCTGAACACCTGCTTTGTGCACACTCCAACTGAAGGAGTTTCTCCCATCAAACCATCCATCCGGCCTCAGAACAGAGCTGTCTCTGAAGGTGCCTCTTTTGTTTTGCCAAAATCAGTGAAAGCCAGAGTAGCAATATTTACAAGTAAAAACACTAGGAACTAAGATGTGCATAATTTTTAAGAAATGTTTATTTCAGAGAAGGGAAAAACATAAAAAAATTCTCAATTCTAAGGGCTCAAATTTTTTCTCAACATACTAAGGTATGAGACTCATCTAAATACTCTTGTCTTCTGTATCTACCTTCAGAACTTTTCTTTGCATTAGCAACCTTTAGTGGTTATCAAAAGAAAGGAGATGGGTGGTGGCAGTGGGGGCTGAAGCAGCCTACAAGATAAATAATACAGAATAGAGCAAAGAAGAGAAAACAAAGACGTGGAGGTCACATTGGGGTTGGGGGAGGCTGCCAGAGGGAGCATTGGCTTTTGGGTGGA